AGACCATCATCCCTATTAGAATAACTCTATTGAAGTTTCCCCATAGAAGAACAAAGGGATTCTTTTGTCTACTAATTAGCTTGTCTAAATATATAATTGTGTACATGAATCACATGATCAGTCTATTTTGTGCTTCAATTCAGCCTATCACACTTAAACTCAGCCATAAATAAGTTCAAAATGATCATCACCAACCAGCATCATGCTTGGATTGTTTATATCAGAACAGTGTCCCACAGGCTAAAGAAATAGTTGACTGTTTTTTTGTCTTCACTTGTTACTAGCTACTTGCTCCAGTGTTAATCTAATGCTAGCATGGCAGAAACATGTAGCATTTATAGTGACTTATCCTTATAGCTAAGCAAATATCAGAATACTCTAGAAACAAATCTGATTTTTTTTTTTAATTTTTCGAATGGCGGGTTATTTCCAGTCGCAATCAACAAGTCATGACGTAATGATACAATGATATATGTCAAATGGGTCACTAGTGTTATGTTTGACAAGCTTTGATGAGTTGCAATGAATCAATTACAAGTTTAGGATAAAGCTTTGAAATTTCATCATAATTTGGTGGGCAATACCATGTGATTTCTCATAAAGTATGTCTACTAACATGTCCCATGTTATAGCTGCTCTTTGCCACTCAATCCATATCTAAGAGATTGTCTACATAGCATTATCTCCATATATATACACACTCATCTGTAAGGACTCCCACATCTAAATCATAATCTTCCTTCACATTTCTCAGTTTTATATACACAACATTGCTACTGCTCCCCTCCTTCTAGTACTACTCGAAAAGAATTCATCAAATTCTGATCATGGCTATTCGTTTCCCCAGATTCGCTAATGCTAAACAAGCTCAAAGGCGAGTTCTTTTATCAGCAGAGAACAGAATTGTGCCTAAAGGCCACTTTGCTGTTTATGTTGGAGAAAGTCAGAAGAAGAGATTTGTAGTACCCGTTTCATACCTGAAAGATCCTTCATTCCAATATTTGCTAAGTCAGGCTGAAGAAGAGTTCGGCTTTGATCATCCTATGGGTGGTCTAACAATTCCTTGCAGCGAAGAAGTTTTCCTAGATCTCACTTGCAGCTTATGAACCTCATAAGAGATGATTTGAAAAGCTAACAAAAGGGTCTTAGTTAGGTCTTCAGGAAACTAACAGATTATGTCACGATTTTTGAGCCGAGAAAATATGTAATTGCGGATTGTCTGCTGGAATCTAAGTACCATGTAACCTATAAAAATAGTATGATCAAATATCAAATCCATTTGACATGAAAAACACATGTTCTATCTCTCCTTTTTCTGTAAGAGATCATCATGATCGAGTTGCATATTCTAATGACAGATAGAAGATTTCGTAAAGCAAGATGATTGACATATCATTAACTCTGTGATACAGATTCTCATTGATCTATTGATATACTAGTGCTGTCAGTAATACAACTCCACTAGCTCAAATCTTCCATTACAAAATATGACCACTGATAACTAGTACTATATGGTACTCCAAGTCCAGCTAGGCTCAAACCTTCCGTTTTGACTTTGAAAGTTGCAAGTACAGACTACAGGTCACTTTGATTCATTCATTTGGATAGTTTAGCCAGCCAATGATCTCAGTATCTGACCCGGATAGTATCTCAGACCAAATGCCTCAAAATGTTCAAATATCTATACGATTGAGAATTATTTTACTGCAACTATAACATCCCAGATGCTTATTTTCCTAAAATTTTCCTAAAATAACAGAATTGAACGAATTTTTCCAAAATTTTATGAAGATAGCAAGAAATAACACAATTTTTTATTTAGATTGAATCTTAACAGTACAGAGCACTTGCCTTTAAGTGATTATGTTAGTCTTCAAGGTCTTAATTGACATGAAGTGAATCCACTTTGACAAGGTTTTGTGATTATGTGAAAGGAAAAGAGGTCCTCTGCTTTTTTCTTTCCTGATCTGTCCTTAGCTGTTTCCCATTAAAGTTTAGTGCATCATGTTTTTCTACAATTCAACTCTTTAAAGTCATTCAGGAAAGCACTACCATGTGATGCTTCATTAGCCAATATTCATTTCCAGCCCCATATAAGCCAATTCACCGCAGCAGATCATGCACTAATTGCAACTTCCTAAGATCCTTACTACTGTAAAAAAATGGGTCTGCTGTACCTGATATATAAGTGATATACTTAGCAGCAGCAAAGGTAACAGTGCCTAGTGCAATTATGTGTACTAGATTTGACCCTTGTCGTTGATTGATTGCAGTTTATCCAAACATGAGAAATCGTCAAAGCACAGATGGCATAGCAGTATTATTTTCATGTTTTGTAGGCACGAATAATCAACTTGCAAAAGAGAGACGTGTGATGTCTTAAGCATGTTCTAAATAGAACAGAACATTAACAGATGCTTAGCTTGAAATTACAAGAGGGTGATCACCTCTTTTTGATTTAATTTCAAGTGGGATCAGATGTTGCTTGTTAATTTCCGAGGTGAGACAAGGCATAAATGTTAAACATCATAGCCTGGTCAATCACTCAAATTATCACTTGAATTTTCTATGCATGATGATTTGGAAAACAAGACCATGTCTATTGGATATGTCAAATTAAGAAGTGAAACATTGCCGAAGGACCGTGCAATCCGTATATGAGCACACGACTAAGCTCAGTAAAAGTAGAGGTCTTCACAATCTCCTGTTTCAATCTCAAGTACCTGCAAGTTTCCCGGTTTCTGTAACACCCAAATTTATTTTTTTTATTTTTTTTAATTTATATTAAATTTTAGTTTAATCTTTTTATATTTAATTTATAAAGTTTTAATTTAATTTAATTCAAATTAATGAAAATAAAAATAATAATAATAATAAAATAGGGTAAAATTATTTTTGGAATTTAATTGAAATTAATTTGGGAAAAATGGGTGAAAATTTGGATTCTGATGGTGTTTTAGAAAAGAAAATCAGAAACCGGGGGGTCAAAATGCAATTTAGGAAAATTGTGCCACGTCAGTAGCCACGTCAGTAGCCCGGTCAGCCGCCCCAGCCAACCAGAATACGCCGCGTGGCAGGAATGCTGACGCGGGAAGCCACGCGGGACGGGGCCACGTGGGCGATCAGCGTGCGCACGATCAGACGGTCCAGATTAAATCGTGATGGACGGCTGAGATTAAAAGGGGAATGTTATAAATAACCTCACCCACACCCGACCCCAAATCCTAACCGCCAGTACCCTCGCCGGAGAAGAAGGACCAGTCGCCGGAGGAGCCGGCCGCCGCCACCCGCCGCCGCACCGGAGGGTTTTCCAACCACCAAACGAGGTAAATTTTTTCTCCTTGGCTTGTTTTTCGATGTTGAATCCGCCCATGGCCAAATCGGAGCCAAACTACCGGCCAATCAGCTGGAAAATACCGCCGAAGTCCAGCGGCGCTGCCGCAGCTTCTCTCAGTTTTTGCCTCCGATGAGGCTCTTTCCGGTTTCCGATCGATGCAATTTTTACACTACTGTGATCACTGTCCTTTTCTCTACAGGTTGATCGGAGTAAAACATCAAACCGCGACTCGCGCCAGAGAAGCCGCCGCACCCGAGAGCACCGCCGCCGGTAAGTCTCGATTTTTTGTGATTTTTTGGCCCACCGAGGGCCCTAAGGTTGTTTTATCGCAGGAACCAATGCAAGTTTGGCCGAATTCAGCCGAAAACGGCCAACTCGAGGCTGATTGCCGCCGCGGGCGACGGAGCCGCCGTGTCGAAATTCCGATATTGGCCGAAAAGGGGCCCTGGGTCTGATTTGGGGTTTTTTGGGACACGTGCAAGTACCGATAATGCGTTTCAGTTTTCTAGAAAAAATTCAAGGAATTTAGGGACAGCCCGTAAGCACACTGTAGAGCCGATTTCAGACCCCGAAACAAGTAAG